CCCGCGCGGCGGCAAATGCACGTGCTACCTTGTTGTTGTTGTTGTTGTTGTTGTTGTTGTTGTTGTTGTTGTTGTTTGTGTTGCTGCAGATGCCACTGGTACCTTCTTGTTAGTGGATGTTGGTTGTGTGTCTGGTTCCAGTGCTGGTGCAACGTGTTTGTTCCGCGGTCTTGGTGGGCTGTGATTTTCGTGTCGCTGTTCGTGATCGTGGTCGTGTTTGCTGCTGCTGCTGCTGTTGGTTTCGCTATTGCGGTGATGGTGGCTGTTCTGCTACTGCTGATGAGTAACATGTTGCTGCCTTTGCTGCAGCTGCCTCCAATCTAACTTCATATTGCTAGTTCAAGTTGGCAGTCGCATGGATTGAGATGGTCGTAAACAGTCGTAATGTTGAGGCGCGAGGTCATGGTGTTTGTGCATGTCATCCCCTCGGGAGCCAGGGGAAAGTTTACATGGTGCCGGCGATCTGGTTTGACGCAATCCTCGCAATCGCTGGCATGGCGGCTGTTCAAAATTATGACCCTTGTACATGAGAGCAAGAGGCGGCAGAACGGAATGCATTGTGACTCCGCATCTCTTCACGACAACAGGTACACCTGGTTTTCATCATTGTCATTGAGGTTGGCGAGGTCACTGCAGGTTTCCGCGGTAGCGGGAAGCATGCAAGCATAGCTAATCTTCAACGAGCTAAGGCTTGCGGGTCGCAACATTCTTGGGATGCACTCTGAAACATGCACGCGCCGCAGGTGCACCCATTATGTACACCGTTGTGATTGTCAGAGCATTGCGTGCCATACGTCTCCTACGAGTTCTTCGCTTCTGCCGTGGCCTTCGCATGTTCCTCTCGGCGTGCAGCTTGACTATAATTGGTATGTCTTAATCTTGGTATGACTAATGAAAGCGGCCACAATGCACCAGTTGACACAGGTTCAAAAATGAGCCTCTGCATGCAAAATAATTATTGGATAAGCCAACTGAAGATTTTCGCAGGAGCCTGTGCCAGGCAAATTGTGAGATCAACTTCGAATTCTACCGGAACCAAGTCGGTTTGGCTCAAGCGGTTTTGCTGGAACTGACAGTAAGTAGACTGCCTGCCTACATGCCTTTCCGCTGTCCCGGAAGGATCGTCAATATTTCGTGACCGGGCATCGGGGCAACAGAGTGACAGTTTCGTCTCGTCAGGAGGAGAGGGCCAACACGTCAGCAGATGTGGCGGCACGGATTACATGATTACACCCTACCCGTGAGGGGACCAACAGTTGCAGAAGCATCTGGCAGTATTTTTGCCTGATTGCCATTCGGAAGGGCATCTGCATGCAATGGCAAAAACGTCCTTGCTGTAGGTCCCTACGGGCTGGCTGGAAAATCCGTTCTTGGGTTATTATGCCAAGTATGCACTGTGTCGCTGTGCATGTCCGTAATTTACCATACTGTAGTGATGAAACTTGTTGAAGATAAATAACGAAAATTGATAAAGTCACTTGTGCAGTTTCAGCCGCGGTCGAGACATCTGCTCTCTAGTGGAGAGTCGTGGGGGTCACACCAAATTTTGAAGATGATGGGGGCGCATCTTGTTCATCGATGGGCGCGCGGCTCGGCTCCGAGGTATTATCAGATTTATCAGGTTCGGATGAAGGCCTCAGCGCCTTGAAGTACGAGGGTCGCGGATCCGTGAGAACGATGACAAGCTCGTAGACAACTTTCCAAGCGGCTTCAGCCAAATCACTTGGACGAAGGTGCGGGTTGCTGTGCATGTAGCATGCATAAACCTCTCCATATTTTTCCGAGGTATGAGGACTGACACAGGAAGCCTCGCTCTGTTGGTATGAGGTTGGCCTTCACACATTGAACGAAATACCCGTGGTGCTGTTTTGCGTAGAACATCACTGCCTGTCTGTTGTGAAGTTGGCAGGTCCCGCGGACAAAGGGAAGGTAAGTTCTTGTTGTGCTGTAGATATGCAACGTTAGCACGGTGAGCTGGAAGACTACAACATGTCCGGGCCTCAGGTTCAATTCTGATATCACACATCCGGCAGGACACGACGTCAAGGTAAATGATCGCCCTAAGCCTCACGTGCTAGCGATGGTTGGCTTAAGCAGACGAAAAAGACAGGAGAGCCTCCGATGCTGGAAAGAGTTTGCTTTTGCGAAGTTACCGGGTTGGCAATGCTTTTGTGTGTGTGTGGTCATACTGGCAAGGCAGCGGCGGTGCAGCCACTGACGACAAAAGCTGGCATAGCTTGTCTGCCTTATGAAGACACCCAGCTTCGGTTCTTGTAACTTGTGCCAGTGAGGCTGCCTTCCGCATCAAGCGCCAAGCGCGCTTACCGAAACGACCAAAGACCAGCCACGCTTGTTTCCCTGCTAGCATTTAAGCCTTGCCTGTGCCCGCCGTAGCTTCCGTGTGTCATCGAATCTAGCGATGAGGTTGTTTAGATAGCGTGAAAAAACAAAGCAGGACCTCGCTGGGGCAACAAGCAGCTGCGCGAGCCCCTCGCCAATGCCCTTTGTGCTCACGGGGTGGACGGTGCAAGGAGCCGCCGCACGTAAAAGACCGAAAATCCTTCTGTCTGTTGCCTCGATCTATGTATGCACGCACTTCTTCACGACTATAACTATATTGCTTGCAGAACAGGCCTCCCTAGCCTCGCGCGTGCCCTTGTTTCACCTGCTCATGGGACATGCAGCAGGTTCTTACTACCGAGTGGGGCGCCAAACGCCGGGTGGCTCGCAGGGTGATGCGCTGCCACGTGTGTATGGATGTTTTGTCAGCCTTATGTTGGACCCGCACTTAGCATGCCTTCAGGTTGTCCGCCGCTGTGAACGTCACAGGCCCGCTACTTGAGTGCCGTTTCCCACGGTCAGCTTTTGGCTTGTGATATTCGATTGCTAGTAACAATGTGTTTCTTGCAAAACCACGAAAATCGATCAGAAGTCGTTTACGAACAGCAATAATCGGCCAAACATGTATTTCGATTTCAGAAGACAAGAAAGCACGAATGGTTCCGATTTACCCAGCGAAATCGTTTCGATCTTTCAAATTGGTCACATCCGAAAAACAACACGAAGCCGGCTGACTTTTCGTTCTCCAAAATCAAAAGGCACCCACATCCATCTGATTTGTTTTCGGTGCTCAAACCAAGTGATCTTAGAACCGAGGTCATAGAAACCAAACCCGAGACGGGCCCAGGGCTTGCAATGGTGGTTTGTGTAATCCTGAGCATGTTTGCGCGATGTTGAGGGGAGCCAGAGTTTCGGAAAAGAATCTAGATCCATCCATTTCGTTTGTTAGTGTGCGTGTGTTAGGCGTAGCGTCGGTCACCAAGTCGGTAGACACACGACCACGTCGCAAAGGCAAAACGTTTTTGACATCGCTGGTGTGGGCGATGGTGCTGCTGGGGATATTTTTGTCTACATCTGCCCTGATCATCGGGAACATGTTGCAACATTACATTACGGATCCCATGGAGAGCTTGGAGATGCGAACCTGGATGTGGGAGCATTATGGCACCGCTTACAATGCCGCCTACACCTTCTTCGAAGTGACTTTCGCCGGGAACTTTGGATGCAAAGACGGTCTAGCTTTTGTTGCCGTGTCCAGCGCAATCAACATGTTAGTTTGGGCACAAATTTTGGCTTTACCCTGAATCAAGGAATTGGCCGACCAACGTCAGACCCGTGCTGGACAACGTCAGCAAGCTGTACGTCTTATTTTTCGGTGCATACATCATTGTCGTCGTGTTTGCTCTCGTCCGTGTCATCACAGCGATTTTTTTGAGAGATACTTTGGAAGCGGCGCAATCCGATGCTGAGTTCATGGTCGTGGAAAGTTTGCGCAAGCGAGCTCGATATGTCCAAAAGCTAGAAGGCATTTTCAAAGCTATTGACAAGACCGGCAAGGGCATGGTCACAGAATCAAGGCTGAATGACATGCTGAGCGATCCCACTGTGAAAGCACATTTCCAGTCGATTGATGTCGACATTCATCAAGGCTGGCGGTTTCCTTTTTTTGACTGACAACATAACATACTTGTTTTTGCAGCTCCATGGGTGGCAGTCGCTGAAATGCATATTGTGTCCAGGTGTGGCATTGTTTCATTTGCTCGACAATGGAGACGGGGAAGTCACTTTAGAGGACTGTTGTTGCAACGTTTCCGTCGTGCTTGTTTTAATGATATGTTTGTCGAACCAGTTCGTTTGATTCATTGATGACTCGGCCACAACCGATGGGTTCAGACTGGTACGTTGAGCATGTCTGGAGGAGTTTGTCGACGGCATCTTGCGATGCAAAGGCCAAGCCAGGGCCATTGATCAAGTCGCGCTTCATGCGGTGCGCTGGATGCAGTAAGTAAGTTGTTCAATTGCCGAAATTAGTTTCCACGGTTGATTGGTGCAAAGACCCCCAATCCCCAAAACAAACTGAGTTGAATGTCTGTTAACACCAGCGTCAAGGAATAGCAGTCCTCATGGTGTGGTCGTGGAGCCGTAAGGAGTAGAGCAGCGTAGAGTAGTTCAGTAATACAGGAGTAGAGGAGAAGAGGAGAAGAGGAGTGTAAGGAGTCGAGTAGTAGAGTCAGGAGTCGTAGAGCAGTTGAGCAGTAGCAGCAGCAGCAGCGGCAGTAGTAGCGGTAGGAGTAGGAGTGGGAATGGGAGTGGGAGTGGGAGTGGGAGTGGGAGTGAATGTCGTCGTCGTCGTCGTCGTGTGGTATCAGTGTAGTAGGCAGCGGGCAGTAGGTAGCAGGTGGCTGGTGGTAGCAAGTTGTATGTGGTTAATGGTAGTGCTAGTGATAGTGGTGGCAGCAGCAGCAGCAGGAGGAGGAGGAGGAGGCGTCGTAATATTCGTCGGCTTGGGCGTAGGCGTAGTCGTAGTCGTCGTCCAGTGGCGGCGGCAGTGGTAGAGTTGATGGTGGTGGTTGTCGTGGTGGAAGCAGTAGCGGCAGCACAGATGGCAGCACAACATGAACAGATTTAGCATGGTTGTGGGACTCTTTCTAGCTGAGGTGTAAGAAGCAGTCAACATCAATTTACATGCGTTTATCCAGGAGTGCTGTAACCCGAAGTATGTAGTATGTAGCGAGTCGAACAAACACCTGGAGCTATTGCAGATCGTGCTTGGGTTGTGCCTATTTGACACGGCCTCCTTCCTCTCAAGGAGCTGAAGCAGTTGGACATGAAGCTTTCCCGGATGACGCGGATTTTCACCCAAGTGTACCCTACGCTTCTGAGGACGGGGCACGGGAAGCAAACGATCGACAAGGGTCAAGATGCGCATGTCACCGTCTCATGTCAACAGCTTACTTGGTGCACTTTGGCGGATGTTTCGAGATTTCAATCGCAACAAGTGTTTGCTTTGTCCATCCCCACATGCCGCTGATGCTGACCTTCCAAACGAAGATGTCCCGTCAGGAAGTCCACACAGGCAGCCAAGTCACCCACACCTCAGAAGGGAGTGATGCGGCGTTTGTCTATGGCCTCTGACAGTTTCCTGGGGCACCAGGCTCTAGCAGACTAGTATGGATCATAGGGTGCTGCGCAGTGTCTAGGGACTCTAGTGTCAAGAGATGTCAGCAGCATCAGCGCTGCATCTTGTTGTATGGGCTACTGACTACTGCACAGGATCTAGTAATGAATCGTTCCTCTGGACGAAGATACGGTCTTTCGTATGCAGGTCGAATCGTACAGCTTGTTGGAATGCTTCGCTGGGGGAGGGTCATCCCCGTGCCTCTTGACAGCCGCTCTGGCTGCTCCGACCCGGTTTCTGACAACGCTCAGATTTCGGGATGTAAATTTTGGAAAGCAAATTCATAGGTGCAAGAGACGCCTCAAGTGGCGAAAGCGCGCAAATGGTACAGAGTTTATAAGCTTACCATCGTGGAGGGTTGGCCGGCAGGAATTACAGATGGTGACTTTGTCTTGTCTGCAGCGTGCTTTGGCAAGTCCCACGTACCTGAGGTCGCGTGAGTCTTGCGATAAATTCGTGGCGGTTTTGCCAGTGGGCATTTTTTGCATGAAGTAGCCGACAGTGCTACCGAATCCTCGCTTCTGGGTTCCTTTCAGCCGCCTGTGGGTCTCTATCCCCTGGCAAACTGCAAACACATCCCAGCACAAGCTGCGAGAAAGTGGAGATGACCGCATTGAGAGTTTTGCCACTTGCTCCAACGACAGTTTGCAGCTGCCCTTAATGCCGCATTTGCCAAGGATTTCGAGCGTTTGCTCGAGGATTCCGTGGACATAGAGGTTGGCGCAGACAGGCTCGGAAAAAGTTGCATGCAGCTGCTGTAATAAGATTATGCCCCGTCGTTGTGGCTGCAGCCGATGGACACATTTGACATTGGAGGCCCAGCGATGCCGTGCCTCAAACTCCTATCACTCCCATGTCGGCTTCAGGCACGGGCAGTTTCAGTGACGGCATTTCTCGGACTTGAGAGACTTCACTGGGCGTAGCAGGCTGAGGTGCCCGAGACAATTGACTCCAGCACAGGGTCCTAGATGAGAATGTGTGTGTGTGTGTGTCACCGTACATCATTTCATTCATGTTGGTGCATATGGCTAGTGGTGTGGGGTGGTGGTCGGTGATGACTCTGGCGACAGCGCTGTCAGGTACCGGGCCTGCAGCGCAAGCAGAGGCCCCAGTTGCCAAGCTGGCTGGCGAACCTTGGTTGCGGGAAATGGCTTCTTGTAGACACAAGGAGTGATTTGGAGGGTGGGAAGTACTACCGTCGTGTAAGTAAGTAGTAGTAGTAGTAGTAGTAGTAGTAGTAGTAGTAGTAGTAGTACCCGTAGTACCCGTCGTAGTAGTAGTAGTAGTAGTAGTAGTAGTAGTAAGAGTAAGTAGTAAGTAGTAGTAGTAGTAGTAGTAGTAGTAGTAGCAGTAGTAGTAGTAGTAGCAGTAGTAGTAGTAGTAGTAGTAGTAGTAGTAGTAGTACTGTAGTACTGTAGTACTGT